AGGACAGCCGTCTCGCAATGCAATGCCAGCTGCTTGCAGTAGGGGGTGCAGCTGCCTCGTAACGTCTGAAAAGCACTGCTGCAGGAACGGGTCATGGGATTTCCTAACCAAAGCTGCCTCCACGGAACAACCCAGCTCTCCAAAAAGTCAAAGCCACAGGCAGTCAGCATACATGTGGTGTTCTTCGAGAGCTTGCTCATATCGATTCCCATGAGCTGTGCACGCCGTGTGCACAGTCGCCGGAAGGTTTTCCCTAGCAGTACCCGTCGGGTCGGCGGTGGAGCCCCCTGGAGTCGTGCTTTCATGGCACCGCATCTAGGGCCCTGCCGACCTGCTGCCTCTCCAGTTCCTTCTTACCGCCAGTGACGGTCGTTGGAACGCTCCTCTCTCGCTTGTCGAGTGATCCCCTAGTAGCTTTCGCTTAAAATTTCTTGTAAATAGTTTAGACGTTTGTTATAGTTGTAGTTTAGACAGAAAAATTTTAGTGCTTATTGGGCTTCTCCCCATTTTTTCCTTTCCCTTCCCTGGGGCCGGGCCATGTGTGGGGGTCTGCCAAAAAGCGATGCCCAAAGGCCACCCACACACAGCCTGTCTTAAGTGCCGGGTGAGTCCCACCAAACAGACAGGTGCAAGATCTGCAGGAGTTTTTGTCCCTAAGAACGAAAGGGGCCATAGATGAAAGCTCCCGTTGATGGAGGCAACCGCAATCAGAGTCAAGCCCCAGGGATCCGGCACCGGGCTCCTCCGTGGCAGTCTGCAGCTCAGCGGCTTCAATTAGGGAGGCACAGTAAGAAGCACAGAAAGACTGACGGGGTGCTCCCCCTCTCGAGCGCCGGAGCGTGAGGCAGCTAAGGGAGTGCGACCCGTGCCGGGTCACTCCTCTCCAGCGGTGTGACAAGCAGCACCGTCTACTACGGGCCCACAAGCGGGCCTGTCGAGTCTGGCGCCGGTGGAAGAGGGACAGGAGGAGGACCTGGACCTTCCTTCTACCCCAGAGACTTTCAAGCCGGCCCAGGACCTTATAACCCTGATGGACCTGCATTCGCCAGTGCCCACTTCTTAAGGTTTGTAGTCGGGGGTACTCACTACCAATTTGCAGTCCTCCCATTCGGCCTATCATCAGCACCTCGGGTGTTCAACAAATGTATGTCAGTCGTGGCCGCCTTCCTGCGGAAAAGACATGTCCTAACCCTAACCCTAACCCTTACCTCGACGACTGGCTAGTGAACGGCTGGTCCAGGACACAAGTGGGTCAACAGGTCACTGGATAAGATCCACCTTCGACTCTTTGGGCCTTCTCCTAAACACTCAAAAGTCAACAGCCCCCCCTAATCAGAGAATAGAGTTCACGGGGGCGGTGCTAGACACGAGACAGGCCAGAGCATTTCTACCTCAGTCCCGCTTTCAGTCCATACATGACCTCAGACAGATGGCAAGGAGTTGCTTGAAACTCCTCGGACGCATGGCGTTGTGCACATACATGGTCCCAACACGCAAGGCTCAGAGTCAGATCTCTCCAGGCTTGGCTGGGATCTGTGTACCAGCCGAGCAAACACAGCCTAGACAAGGTAGTCACACTTCCACTGAGGGTTCTTGAGTCTCTTCAGTGGTGGCTTGACCCTCGCACGGTGTGTATAGGGGTCGCATTCTCCAAACCGCGCCCCTCGTTATGTTGGTCACCGACGCATTGAAATGGGGTGGGGGGCTCACCGCAGAGAGCACAGAACTCAAGGCCTCTGGTCACCAGGGGACCTGTTGCTGCACATCGTCAGGGAGTTAAGGGCGGTTCGTCTGGCGTCAGACTTTTCAGCCTCATCTGGAGGGCAAATGCATATCAGTCCTAATTGGCAACACGACAGCGACGTTTTACATCAACAAACAAGGTGGAGCGCGCTCCTCTCCCCTATGTCAGGAAGCCCTCCAGCTCTGGGAGTTCTGTATAATGCACTCGATCCTTCTGGGTGCTTCCTACCTGCCCGGATATCCGAACAAGCTAGCAGACCATCTCAGCACATCTTTTCACAGCCAGCCACAGTCCATTCACCTGGACATAATAAACAACATCTTCCAATGGTGGGGATTTCCCCAAGTCGACTTGTTTACCATAAGGAGCAACCAGAAGTGCCTTCAATTCTGCTCCTTCCTGAGCCACAGCCCGGGCTCTCTGGCAGATGTTTCTTCTTCCATGGAGGGACCAGCTCTTCAACTCGTTCCCTCCCACCCCACTCATCTACAAGGTCCTCAAGATCTGGAGCGACAGGGCCTCAGTTATCCTGGTGGTGCCAGCTTGGCCCCGCCAACATTGGTACATCATGTTGCAGTGGAGACGCCAGTCACCCTTCCGTTAGTTCCAGATCTCATCACTCAACATCACGGGCGGCTCCAGCACCCCAATCTCAAATCTCTCCACCTCATGGCTTGGAAGCTGTGTGACTAAATCCTCTAGAACTCACATGTTCAGACCCTGTTAGAGAACTCCTTCTTGGTAGTAAAAAGCCTTAAATCAGGGCTATTTATTTCGCCAAGTGGAAGCGATTCTCATTTTGATGTTCGTAGAACCATATCCCTCCGACTCAGTCTTCAATTCCCTTTATCTTGGAATACCTGCTTAAACTGAAATAGCAGGGTCTCGCATTCGTCTGTAAAGGTTCACATGGCTGTCATCTCGGCTTTTCATCCAGGAGAGGCTGACCACTCCATCTTCGCTAACCCAATGGTACAGCATTTTCTTAAAGGACTAGACAGATCCAACGGCCAACCCTGGCCTGAAACCTTAACCTGGTGCTCTCAAGGCTGATGGGACCTCCATTTGAGCGCTTAGCAACATGATCCCTACTCTATCTATCATATAAAGTGGCTTTCCTGGTCACAATAACCTCAATCAGGAGGATGTCTGAGCTAAAGGCCCTCACATCTGACCCTCCTTATACCACCTTTTACAAGGACAAGGTGCAGCTCCGACCACACCCAGCGTTCCTCCCGAAGGTGGTCTCCAACTTCCACGCCAACCAAGACACGTTCCTTCCGGTCTTTTTCCCAAAGCTTCATGCCAACAGCTGTGAGCAGAGGCTCCACTCCCTGGACGTTCGCCAGGCCTTGGCTTTTTATATTGAATGGACAAAAAGGTTCCGCAAGTCAAACCAGCGGTTTGTGGGGGACAGGATGATGGGTGTCCTCCCAGAAGAATATCCTCTTGGATCACATCCTGTGTCCGGGTATGCTATGACCTTGCCAAGGTTCCTGCCCCTGCTCTGACAGCGCACTCTACGAGCCCTTCAGGTCCAGGTCCCGATTCAGGAGAGCTGTGGAGTGGCAACGTGGTCCTCCGTGCACACGTTCACTTCCCATTACGCCATCACCCAGCACACCAAGGACGCTGCAGCATTCAGCAGAGCTGTGCTTCAATCAGCAAGTCCATGAACTCTGACTCTGCTTGCTAGGTCACCTAATTGGAATCGACATGAGCAAGCACTCGAAGAAGAAGAAACGGTCACTCGCCTTCTCAGAACTGTTCTTCAAGATGTGTTGCTCATGCCCCTTCCAAACCCAGCCGCCTTCCCCTCCATCAGAGTAATCCGGGAAGAAGGAACTGGAGAGGCGGCGGGTTGGCAGGGCCCTATATACAGCACCATGAAGGCACGACTCCAGGGGGCTCCACAGCCGACCCGATGGGTGCTGCTAAGGGAAAAACCTTCCAGCAACTGCACATGGCACACACCCCTAATTGGAATGGACGTGAGCAACACATCTCGGACAGTTATGAGAAGGTGGGTAACCGTTGCTTTCTGCAGGCGCTGACACACCAGCTCATGCACACTCTCGTCTGCACTGAGCATGCTCTGGTCTGGATACCTCCCCTGCCCTGGTAATCCACCTGCTGCACCTCATCATTCACCTACAGCAGCTACAGCTCCAGGGCACAGATTGTCCATCTGTCTGTGCTACGCAGCGCGCAGGCCCCGAGGTGCTATTGTCCCCCAAATGTCAGCACTTCCCAAGCATAAGAGGGAGGTCTAGATCCTAGCTACAGCCCAGGACCATTACTGACAGCAAACAGGGGAGGGGTCCCGGGGGCAAGGGTGAGGGTAAACCCGCCCCCTCTGGCCAGGGCAGCCCTAGAGCTGGGGGGAGGATGGAGGATTTTTCCACAGAAAAATTTGACTTTTCAGTAAAAAATAAAAATCTGAACTATTTAGACTCAGAACTGCCGCTGCAGCACCACCTGGGCCTGGTAGTTCGGTGCCTCAATCGTTCATTAACCAGGCTCCCTGGTCAGACTACATCCCCCAGGGTGCTCCAGTGTCCTAGAGCTGTGGTGCATTCTGGGAGATGTAGTGCAGCTGGTGAAGGAAGCCCATAGAGGAGACGGGAGGCATGAGGCAGCTGAACTACCCCATCCCCGAGGCACTGTAGAGACCTAACAATAGAACTGGGGGTTGAATGACTTTCTCTCTTTTTTATTTATTTATTTATTTTTTAAACAGAAGCTGGAAGAGGCAGGTACTTTTCATGAAAAATTGAGTTTAGGCAAAACCCCCCTTCCCGCCAGTTTCAGTGTCCGTCTGCCCTCGAGGGCCAGTCCCGGTCGTGCAGCTCGCAGATTTCCCCCCATCATCTCCCCTGCATGCCCCCCCCCGACAGCTGTTACCCCGTGGACAGAGGCATAACGAGCCCCACGAGGGGACGGGGCAGTGGCTCTGCTCAGGCCCTGGCAAGTGGACGGCAGCCTCTTGCTGCTACGCAATTGCTGCTGTGACCTTTGCTTGTATAATGAGTTTTAACCATTAAACGGAGCAGGCTCCACCGTTTTCTAAACCGCTGTGAGCTGCCCCCAGCCCCCGGGTCGGGCTCCAGCCCCCGGGTCGGGCTCCGACTCCCAGCCCCTGGTAGCTGTTGCTCAGGTACGGCTGTAGGTGGAGGAGGGGCTTTGCCGAACACAGGCTCAGCGGCTGGCGGTGGGCAGGGCAGGGAGGCAGAGACAGCAGGCGCCACAGGAGGGGTCTGGTAAAATAAACTTTATTAATCGCTTTACAATATATTCTACAGCTTGGAACAGGCCCTTGGCTCTGGGCCCCACCTTACAAACTCCCCCCGGGCGGCTGTGCTCACGCCTCAGGCCCCGCAGCCGGCCCCAACCACCAGGCTCAGCTCACAGCATGGAGAGGCCACTGAAGGGTTAACTGGAAAGTGTCTGTCCCCTGACCCCCACCCCCCCATCAGTGTGGGTAGGGGCGTGTGCCGGGTGATGCATGTGCAGCTCAACGCCAGCACTAGCTAGAACAGCTATGCCCCCCACCTACCCGCCTGCTTTACAACTGCCCCGGCCGTGGGGCTGCGCTAACGTGGTCCCAGCCAGTACAAGTCCCTTCCTCTGGCCTGGTTCCGACAGCGCCCTGGGTACGGGGTGCAGCCCGCGGCCCCGGTGAGGAGGTGGGTGCAGAGGCTGGAGTCCTGGAGGGATTTAGCCCTACTCTAGGGGGATGGGAACCAAACCGGTCTCTGCAGCAGCACAGCTAGGCCCTGGGCACGACAGCTGAGGCCCCACCTCCTGCTGCAGCCCAGCCCCCAGGCGTAGGTCGGGCCGGGCCGGGCCAGGCCGGGCCTCCACACACCCAGCTGAGGAGGTTAACGTTGAACCGGTTCCTCAAGGGTTCTGCCACAGCCGCCCAGGTGCTGATCTCCCCCGCTCGCTCGCTGATCCTCATCCTCTCACATCTTCTTGGATTTAATGTGCACGAAGAGAGTGGCTGGCGCCAGGGATGCCCCGTCCCTGGAGAGCAGGTGGATGTGACGATACCCTGGGAACAGGGAGGGAGCAGGTGAGGCCGGGAAGCAACCAGCCCCTGGCCCTTTGGACCCACAGCCATCAGTTGGAGCAAAGCTTTGTGCAGCATCTTTCCCCAAACGCTCTTTGCAGTCCGCTAAGGAATCTGGTTATCTGCTGCTGAAATGCAGCCACCTCTGGGGTGAAGCAAGGCACAGCCACAGTGCCCGTTGAGAGTAGGAAGGAATGCTGGTGCCCAGGCTGGCACTGGAGGGCAGGGGTGTGGGCGGGCTCCCCTCCCAGCGATGCAAAGAAGAGCAGAGTGCCAGCCAGCACGGGCTGGGGAAAGGCAGGTCGGGTCCCCCTCCTCGGCCTGAAGGAGGGTGGCTAGCCCCACAGGAAGCCAGCCAGCACCCCCTGCTCTGGAGAGGGGACTGTGTGGGCCATAGCACCAGGCCTGCAGCAGGAGTTGCTCAGGCTCTGGGTCGGTGGGACTGATGCCAAAGGGAGAGTCCTGCTCAGCTGCGGGGTCCCCCCCATTTCTCTAGGCATCCCCTGAACCTGCTTTCATGGCCCCTTGCTGCAGCTCCCACACCCCAGTGCACGGGCCTCTTGCCAGTGCTGCCGCTGGGTTGGCAGAACGGGCACCACTGCGCTCTCTGCCCCGGGGGGGGGGGGGGCAGGCAGCCCCTGCCAGGCACCCACCTTCCCTCAGGCTGGTGAAGGGCAGGGTGAACTGCCCCACGAAGTCATTGCAGGAGGTGGTGTCGTAATCTTCCACCACGAAGCGCACCAGGGCCAGCTCCGGCACCTGCAGCTGGAAGCTCAGAGTCTCCTCCCAGCGTGGATTGAAGCCTGCAGGGGTGGGGAAGGGATGGGGTCACAGACTGGGGCCAGCTGCCCCGTGGGGCAGGCAGGTGTCGCTCACATGCTGGCACAAGCTGTGCGCGGTCACATGCCCCGTGCTAACAGGCTGCTCCCTGGGCTCCAGCAGCAGCAGGGCCCCACTTCGCGCTCCGGGGGCCTCAAGTTCGGTCGCTGCAGGCGCCTTCCAGGGGAGCGGCCAGGCCAGGCTCCGGCTCCTGGAGTCTCCCTGCCCACCAGCTGCTTCCAAGAGAGCTGCAGGGACCCCCCCCATTGATAATTACAATAACCCTGGGGGGTGGGGGGAAGAGGGTGATTCACGCCCGAAGCAGGAGGATTTCCAGCCCTTCTGGCTGCTCTTCTCAGATAAAGGTCCAGGCCGCTCTGGAATCCTGCCTGTCTTGTGGCAGGGAGTCCCACAGGCTAACCTGGAATGATTGTCATTTCTCAGGGGCATGATCTGCAGCTCATTAACCTGCCTGTTACAGGGGGATCCCTTCAATGGGACAAGTTCCTACCTCGGGGGAGTGGGAGGTCGCAGGCCCCCTGGCCCAGGCTTTAAATGATTGCTGGGCTCCCAGGGACAGACCAAATTGTGCAATGGGATTGCTGCATTAACCCCGCATGTGCTGGGCTCAGGGTGATGTGGCTGGTGTTGGGTCCTGCCCTGTAGCTGTGGCCCCAAATAATTTCTGCTCCCATCCCCCTGCTCAATCATTGATTTAACAGCCTGAAATCCTTGCTGTCCTCAGGGCAGGTAGCGCTTCGCCCACCCACTGCCCCTGCCTTGACCTAGAGATGCCCCCCAGGCAGTAGGGGAAGGCCCCAGCACTAAGAAACAGCCACCTCTGGGGAGAAACACAGCAGCTGACTAGCAGGCCTCCTCCCCAGCAGGGCAGGGCAGGGCAGGAGGGGAGGGGTTTTCTCTTGCTCACCCTGCAGGGGGCGCTGTGGACTCCAGCACTATCAGGGGAGGGGAGCCCGGGGTCGTCAGCACGCTCTAGCGCTCACCCATTCTGCTTCAGGGAGTCGTTCTGCCAGCCGGGCTGACCCAGGAGAGGCCAAGGGCCCCAACTCCCCTCCTGCCCAGCTCCTTGGGGTACTGACGAGCAGAGAACAGCGCCCCCTGCTGAGCCACGGCACCGCTGCCTGCCGCTCTCCGGCTGTCCCTGCAGGTCTCCCAGCCAGGGCGGACCAGGTCTCCTCTGCTTAGCTTGGCCGGACCCCACCAGAATCACATGGTCCCACGGGCTGGGGCCCACTCACCGTTGTTGAGCTTGTACTCGGTCTGTTTACTGCTGCAGTCGGCTCGCACGCCATGGATCTCCACGCGCACGAAGGGGTCCACGATGGAGCTCTTCTTGTTGTTCAGCTTGGGGAGCTGCTGGGCCGTGATCACCTGCGGGGGGAGGCGGGTTTAGAGCGGGGGGGGGATGGGCCCCTCACTTGATGCACCATCACCCTCCCTGGGGAAGCTGGAACAGGGGCCCCAGCAAAGCTGGCCTAGGCGTGGGGGATGGGAACAGGCTGAGCAGTGCCCGGGCCTCCGGCACTGGCAGCTCTGAGCCTGCTGGGACCACAGTCCCTCCCCCGGCACACGCTCCTCGCACACCCACCAGCCATGTGACACGGGCACTTACACACCCCTGCTGCACACGCACCCGGCACAGCCCCTGCAGACACCCGCCCACGCATGCCCCACCCCTGCACCTTGACCAGCAGCAGGGTGGCTCTGGGGCCGGGCCCTCGCCCACTCTCGGGGTCGAAGGAGGCCTGGCGGCTCCGCAGGAAGCTGGGCTTCAGCACGTAGCCGCAGCGCCCGTTCACCAGGAACCGCCCGTGGTTCAGATCCATCTCCCAGCCGGGGGTCTGGAAGTTGAGAGCCACTTGGAAAGGAAACACAGAGAGCAGGCGGGTTTATACAGGCAGGGTCCGGGGGAGCTGTGAACACGGGTGGGGGCTGGCAGTGCCAGGGCAGGGTCCAGGGGAGCCATGTACATGGGCGGGGGGCTGGCGGTGCCAGGGCAGGGTCCA